GTTTTCAGGTGTTACTGGGAGTAGCTCTCCTGGGCCATCTTATCTAAAGGGACTTCCTCCATCTTAAGTTTCCTTTCTCCCTTCCTGTCACATCACCATATCTATTTCTTGCAGAGCACTTACATCACAGTCTGTACATTCCTTGTTCCCTCATTGATTTACTTGGCACTTGTCTTTCCCACTAGAATTTCAGCCTCAAAGAGGCCTTGCCTGTCTTGTTCCCCTGTATCTCCAGTTCTAGGCACATAGTTGACACTCAACAAATATTTGTAGAATGAAGAGAGGTGGTGGATGATGAATACAGTGCATGACTTTTAAATAGTTTGTGACTGCAAGCTGATAAAGACAGTTCCATCTTTTTGGTGCTATTCCCTTCTTGCCCCATCTGCCTTCGCCATTCATTGCTCTGCCACTTATGGGAGCACTCCATACCCCAGGGCCCTGTTTCCCTCTCCTGGCAAGCCCTTAACTGGCATGTAGAGTAACCCTCTAGCTGTTTTAAGTATCATTTTCTCAAAATGAAAACCACCTGTCTTCAAAGTGATTTGCTTAAAACAAATGCTCATTTCTTTGCCGAGGCCTCTTCCCCTCCTGCCTTTCCCCACCTCCTGCCAAGAATAATGGGAAAACCCTCTTATCTTGGAAAGTGGTTTTCCCTCTGGTCAGAATCCAGAGCCAGATGATTTATCACCCTGTGTGCTGGGCAATATCTTTTCCCTGCCCTGTTGCTCTCAAATGTTAGCGGTTTGTTCTCTGGAGGCCTGAAGGGGTCACATGATGGGGGCTCAGCCTTGGCACTGCTCCTCTTTGTATATTTCCTTTAAGCATCCTATTTGCCAGCTCATTGATACCAACTCCAGGGAGAAAATAATATGACCCCATTTTAGAGATGGTGAAATGGAGGTTCACAGAGATTAAGGAAGTTGTAACCAGCCTGGTTCAGAACCCAGGTCTTTCTGGCTTCCAAATCCATGTATTATTTGTTGGCGTACTAAGTGTTTCTCAGGGTTATTTTGACCATGTCCTACATTAAAAACAAAACAAAACCCAAAACTGGAAACTTAGTACACATATGTGTAACTGCAATAAGTTTCCTGAAACAATACTTGCCATCACTGTGTGTGATGTACTCTGATATTCTCCATTCCATTTAAAAAATGCTGGTCAGCATACAGCAGGAGCTCCTTCTATTTTAAGGCTGAATAATGTCACAGTTTCTTAATTCATTTTTCCATCAATGGACATTTAGGATGTTACAATATCTTGGTTGCTAGGGGCTGGGGGTGGGGGAAATGGAGAATTGCTATTCAACGGGTTTAAAGTTTCAGTTACGTAAGAGGAACAGGTTCTAGAGATCTGCTTTAAGACATTGTGCCTATAGTTAACAATACTGTACTGTGCTCCTAAAAGCTTGTCAAGAGGGTACATCTTAAGTTAAGTATTCTTACCATAATAATAAAAAATGCTGGTGAGGACCTTCTAAATTTATTTTGTGGCCCACTAATTGGTGGCAACCCATAGTTTGAAAGCAGTTTGAAAAACACTAGTTTAGGTGTTATAAAATATGCTTACTTCTTTATATAGAGGGTTACATGATGTAAGCTACTTTTTGAAATGTTTATAGAAGTATAACATACATATATAAATGCACATAAGAGTATAACTCATTGAATTTTTGCAAACTGAGCATATCTGTATAACCAGCACTAGATCAAAACACACGCCATTGATTTAAGCTTCTTTGAATCAAGACAGGCATGGAATACAGCAGAAACTGATATGCCCTCGATTTGTTCTGAATTATGTACATATGGCTTACTCGATAGAATCTCTCTTTGTACAGGTCTGTATCTTGCGTTTCCAGTGATGAGGCCTGACTGGTATTTTATTTTTATTTTTGTTAATAATGTCACCCAGGGATACTATTTCCCCATTGATTTCTAGAGAGTGGAAGGGAGGGAGGAAGGTGGGGAGAAAGAAAGAAATATCGATGTGAGAAAGACATATTGACTGGTTGCCTCCCATTTACATCCCAACTGGGGCCCGGGTTAGAACCTGCAACCTAGATACGTGCCCTTGACCAGGAATCAAACCCATGACGCTTTGGTGAGTGGGCTGATGTTTTAACCACTTAGTAACATTGGCCAGGGCCTGACTAGTATTTTGGATCTAACAACTGTTGAAGGAATGGATGAAGGCTTCCTTAAGGGCCATCAGAAATGGTGCAAAGGAAGCTCACTGAGAAGGTGCCTGGTGAATGTGACCCATGAGGAGGAGGAAAGGGCAAGGCCCTGCAGTAGGGAATGGAAGCATTCAGATGTGAGAATTTATGGTGCTAATAATTGAGACCAATTTTACTGAAATGGGGGTGGGAGGGAAGGAGGGAAGGGAACTTGTGATTAGAATTCTAAGCTTCTAGAAGTCAATGAACTTTTGTGTAAATAAGGAACGTTCACCTCTCACGGTGAGTATTGACTTTTAGAGAAAATTGTTTTCGCATACTGAATTAAAGGGCTTATTTCTTGGCAAAAGACATAAACACATCTGAATAGAAAAGAAAGCTAGAGGAACTTTGCTTTCATAAGGTGTGGGTTCTGTAAGGCTGTGTAGGTAGACACTGTACAACAATTCATTGTAATGGAATATACATAGAAATGAAAAGGAGTGAATGTTTTTTTAAAAATATATTTTATTGATTTTTCACAGGGAGGAAGGGAGAGGGACAGAGAGCTAGAAACATCTATCAGCTGCCTCCTGCACACCCCCCACTGGGAATGTGCCCGCAACCAAGGTACATGCCCTTGACCGGAATCGA